GTGTGTGTGTGTGTGTGTGTGTGTGTGTGTGTGTGTGTGTCAGAGGGATTTAACTGAGTGCAATTAAGCTGCCTCCAACGTTAAAGAAATCGAACCACAATACGATCACACAGCCACGATCACTGTATTTAGGAGCCCTGGTCCTCCGTCAGAAACAAACACACACACACTGTGGTTATTTCTTCACCTCTGACTGTTCTCCAACACCACATCAGAGTCTCATAAGACCTTGTTATTCTGTCTATGTGGAGGCCTTATGAGTAGATGAAAGGTTGGAAAAAATGGTGACAGCGAGGGAAAGAAATAGACTGTGGGAGGGAAAGATACAAGACGACGTGACAAGAAATCTAGATGAAAAATCTGCCAAAAAACGGCACATTTTTTTCAATTCACGATGAACAAATGCTTCATTCTTTTTAGTCTCTACGCTTCGTTTTGCTGATATCCTCTTGAACCACACTTCTCGTTCTTTCTCTCCATTTGCTAGCTTCCTCTTTTCACACACTCCCACACGAAATCCTCTCAGAACATTGGAGTCTGGCCACTATCTCACCCATGCTTTTGTGTGTTGGAGTGAAGAGCATCCTGTTCTCACTCTTGCTCACTCTTGTCCTTGCACTACTGCTCGCTAACGCTCAGCACCCTACCTCAGCTGTCAGCCACTGCCCCAACATAAACATCAGTTTAGGTTATAGAAATATTAAGGTGCTTTCAGAAGTGCATTTAACTCGGAACATTTTCCTGAGAATTTCCAGAGGGGCTGTATGTGAGAATGCAAATGTCTTGAGTCAGTCTGGAACTTTTCTCACCAGCTCCCTAGAGAAATATCCAAGTAGGTGTGTTGATGACGTTTCCAACACACAACCAACCAAAACAGAAGGAATACAAACATCTAAGGATGAAAAAGAGGTGCAATATATGTGGCAGAAGTCAACGAAGATGTCAACTTGGAAAGACAAGATTAATGAGCTATTGGTGATAATGGCGGATGCTGGTCTCAATGTGCTGGAAACATAACATGTGATTTTCACAGTAAAAAAAAATGCATACATCATCTCCTTGCTCCTCTATGTTATACCCAGGCACCACCCATCACCTGAATGTTCCAGACATGTTCCTGTTCTTAGGAATGTGTGTGACCTGCACAATCTCCTGCTGCATTCTTTATATGTAAAAGACATACTCTGGAAAGTGTCCTGACCCAATTTTAAACATTCAGCGGTGAACGCACCTGCGAGGTCCCCCCTTTTCGTATGGAGGGATGATAACCACTTTGACGGTGACTGACGTTCTGAGCAGGTCGATCATCTGTTCGTGAGTCAACGTCACTGCGGCCACCTTGCAGATCTCCACCAACCGACTGCCCTGCCTCAGTCCCGCCTGCCAGGCAAAGCCGTATTCCTCCACCTGCAGGACAAAACCACAAACAAAGTCCTCAAACACGCCAGTTATGTCCTGCCAAGATTCATCACAAACAAGTATTTCAGTATGAGATCTGGTGTGGCAGATGGTCATCTGATGGTACCTCAGCCACAGTGCCGTCCAAGCGAACATGGAAGCCCAGTTGTCCCAGTCCATTTCTTCTCAGAGTCATATCCACCGTCTCGCATCCAACAGTCAACGACTGGACAAAAAGATGAAACATTTTAAACATTTACACTATGAATCTTGTTCTTATATTTGCAATAAAACGGGTCTGCAGGTATCTTAAAAAGGAAACATGATAACACTGTCTAAAAGAAGCAACATCACCTGAAACTATATCAACCAGCTCTTGGTGTTTATCAGTCTGTATGTATTTGACATGTTCAGAGAGATTAAATATAAAAATAC